CTAAGTCTATCTACATGTGCTATTTCTTATTTTTTATCTCCAGCCTGAAAGGAAGGAGATCACCTTAATTCTATCCCCCATTTTCTACTTCAGGGTTTCATGTCATCAGTCTCTCTTCTGTCTTCAATCCTTCATTGAATATCGAGAATAAACTATGTGCCAGGCACTGTTCTAGAGACATGAGATGTGTAAGTGAAAAAAACAAAGATCCTTGGCCTTGACTAACTTAACATTTTACCTTCTCTACTGGTTCATTTGTCTTAGATTTTCTTCAAATGATTAAATTCACCTCATCTACCCACCTACCCACCTCCCAAATATTGTGTCTGTTGCTACCTCCCTCTTCTCTTCATCATTAAATTACTGAAAAGGGTATTTTCATGGAAGTAGGGAAACAGTACCTTAAGAATGAAATATATAAAAAATAACCCATGAGTAGAAAGAAATAAGCACTGTGATGGTCACCAAGTAAAATGCCCATAGGCCACACAGCTTCGCATTGGTCCCTTCACTTCCTGCAGCAACCTGCTTCTCTTGATGTGAAAGTAGACCAACATTCAGAGAAAGCACTTCCAAAAATGATGTATGTTCAGGGGATGTGATTCAACCCACTCAAACCTTAGAAACCAGGTGACAGCAACCTTTACTACCAAGTGGTTGAAGGCCAGAACAAAGATTATAAGTCATATGTTTCCAGGCCTCCAGCTCAAATCCAGTTCAAATTCTAAGGGAGAAATTGAGAAAGTGCCAAGTTAAAATAGAATAGGAAGTCAAGTCAAGGAGAATACACCCATAACTTCTTTTAGGCTAAAAGCAGGCCTCTATAGATGAACAATAAATAGGAAAACTTGAATACCACGACTGTGTGAAACAATTACAAAATGAATTAAATAAATGTGACATGAGCAAGACAAATGGAAAATACTTTGTTCAAAATATGCTTATAATGGAAGATATACAATTTTAAATAAGGATTTTTTATCTGTCATTTTGGTCAAGATTAAAAAGAGTAATGATCTTGTGTTGGAAAGAATAGAGGTGAAATATTACACACCATACACCATTGGTTGATAGGCATTACACATTAAAAGAGAGAAAGAAAGAACAAAAAATAACTTGGGCTGGCTTAAGCAAAAATGGTGAAATTTATTAAAACGATGCGGGGTGTCATACAGAAATAAATGGCTGCAATGGATCCAGGAAACAAGAGGTTAGAACTAGGAACTGGAAAGCTATAAGAAACACAGGTACTATTAAGTATTCTCATAACCTCTGCATCGAATCTAAATATATATATATATATCTACGTGTATCTGAACTCAAATTCTGTGCATATATGGTCATGAGTAAAAAAGATTAAAAATAGTGTATGTATAGTACAATATCACTTTTGCTCAATATTAAACAAAAGTGTTTTTTTTTCTTCCAAGATTTTATTTAAATTCAAGTTAGTTAACATTTGGTGTAGTATTGGTTTCAAGAGAATTTAGTGATTCATCACTTACATATAACACCCAGTGCTCATCACAAGTGTCCTCCTTAATTAATGCCCATCACCCATTTAACCCATCCCCCCCCACCTCCCCTCCAGCAACCCTCAGTTTTAAACAAAAGTCGTTTATTTGGGTTTTTTTTAAGACGTATTTATTTGAAAAAGAGAGTGCATGCATGCAAGTCGGGGGAGGGGCAGAGGGAGAGAATCCCAAGCAGACTCCATGCTGAGCACAGAGCCCAACACAGGGCTCAATCTCTCGACCCTGAGATCACAACTGGAACAGAAATCAAAAGTTGGATGCTTAACAGACTGAGCCACATAGGCACCCCAAACAGAGGTGCTTTTAAGGTATATATTTATACTGCCAAAAATTCAGAAAAAAATTAATATTTGTGGTCTCTGATGGTAGAACAGGTTTTAGGCAATTTTAAATGTTTTTCTTTTGCATCTCTAGATTTTTAAAGTTTTTCAAATGTACTGATATTTATTCTATTTTACCATAAAAAACAACACCACCACCAAAAAACCCTTCCCAGTGGAGACTTTTCCTTCTCCCATCTCCCCATGCAGCTGTTGGGGCGAGGGGAGGAAATGTCTGCATTCCCCTTATTCCCTACTGCCTCAAACCACATATTGACCCAATACCAAATCTTGTCAACTGAACTTCTTTGGAATTCTATACCGATCACTTATACCATCCTATTTCCACTACTATCTGCTATCTGGAAAGAGAGTTTCCTTTTTTTTCTATTATTTTACCATGGTAATTCAGTCTTCTAGTGCAATTGCTGGGTAATAAGATAATTCTATGTTTAACTTTTAGAGGAACCTCCAAACTGTTCTCCAGAGTGGCTGCACCCATTTGCATTCCTACCAACAGTGTAAGGGTTCCCCTGGCTCTGCATCCTCACCAACACCTGTTGTTTCCTGTGTTGTTAATGTTAGCCATTGTGATGGTGTGAGGTGGTATCTCATTGTGGTTTTGATTTGTATTTCCCTGATGATGAGTGATGATGAGCATCTTTTCATGTGTCTGTAGCCATTTGGATGTCTTCCTTGGAAAAATATCTATTCAGATCTTCTGCCCATTTCTTTCTTTCTTTTTTTTTTTTTTTTACTGGACTGTTTGGGTTTTGGGTGTTGAGTTTGATAAGTTCTTTATAGATTTTGGATACTAACCCTTTTCCAAATAGGTGATTTGCAAATATCTTCTCCTATCCCATAGGCTGCCTTTTAGTTTTGTTGACTGTTTCCTTCACTGTGGAGAAGCTTTTTATCTTGATAAAGTCCCAGTAGTTCATTTTTGCTTTTGTTTCCCTTGCCTCCGAAGACGTGTCTGGTAAGAAGTTGCTGTGGCCGAGATCAAAGAGGTTGCTGCCTGTGTTCTCCTCTGGGATTTTGATGGTTTTCCTGTCTCACATTGAGGTCTTTCAGCCATTTTGAATTTATTTTTGTGTATGGTGTAAGAAAGTGGTCCAGGTTCTTTCTTCTGCATGTGGCCGTCCAGTTTTCCCAACACCATTTGTTGAAGAGACTGTCTTTTTTCCACTGGATATTCTTTTCTGCTTTGCCAAAGATTAATTGACCATATAGTTGTGGGTCCATTTCTGGGTTCTCTATCCTGATCCATTGATCTACGTGTCTGTATTTGTGCCAGGACCATACTGTCTTGATGACTACAGCTTTGTACTATAGCTTGAGGTCCAGAATTGTGGTTATCTCCAGCTTTGCTTCTTTTCTTTTTGGAGACTGCTTTGGCTCTTTGGGGTCCCTGCCGAGCAGGGAGCCCGATGCGGGACTCGATCCAGGGACTCCAGGATCATGACCTGAGCCGAAGGCAGTCGCTTAACCAACTGAGCCACCCAGGCGCCCCGGGTAGTAGAGACATTTTAACAATGTTTGTCCTGCCAATCCACGAGCATGGAATTTTTTCCCATTTCTTTGTGTCCTCTTTAGTTGCTTTCTTTCATAAATGTTCTAGAGTTTTCAGAGTACAGATCTTCTACCTCTTTAGCTAGGTTTATTCCTAGGTGTCTTATGGACTTTGGCGCAACTGCAAATAGGATTGGTTCCTTGATTTCTTTTTCTGCTGCTTCGTTATTGGTGTCTAGAAATGCAACAGATTTCTGCACATTGATTTTATATCTTGCAGCCTTGCTGAATTCGTTTATCCGTTCTAGCAATTTTTTGGTGACGTCTTTTGGGGTTTCCACATGGAGTATCATGTTGTTTGGAAATAGTGAAAGTTTGACTTCTTCCTTGCCGATTTGGATGCCTTTTCTTTTTGTTGTCTGCTTGCTGAGGTTAGGACTTCCAGTACTGTGTTAAATAGTCATAGCGAGAGTGGACATCCCTGTCTTGTTCCTGACCATAGAGGAAAAGCTCACAGTTTCTCCCCATTGAGGATGATATCAGCTGTGGGTCTTTTGCATGTGGCCTTTATGATGTTGAGGTATGTTCCATCTATCCCTATGTTGTTGAGGGATTTTATCAAGAATGGATGCTGGATTTTGTCAAATGCTTTTTCTCCGTCTATTGACAGGATCATATGGTGCTTATCCTTTCTTTTATTAATGTGGTGTATTATGTTGATTGATTTGCAAATATTGAACCATCTCTGCAGCCCAGGAATAAATCCCACTTGATCGTGGTGAATGATTCTTTTAATGTACTGTTGGATTTGATTTGCTAGGGTTATTGAGAATTTTTGCATCCATGTTCCTCAGGGATGGTGGCTTGTCATTCTCCTTTTTAGTGGGGTCTTTGTCTGGCTTTGGAATTGAGGTAATGGGGGCCTTGTAGAAGGAGTTTGGCAGTTTTCCCTCCATTTCTATTTTTGGAGCAGTGTGAGAAGAATAGGTATGAATTCTTCTTTAAATGTCTGGTAGAATTCCTCCGGAAAGCCATCTGGCCTAGGACTTTTGTTTGTTGGGAGATTTTTGATTATTGATTCAATTTCTTTGCTGGTTATGGGTCTGTTCAAATTTTCTATTTCTTCCGTTTCAGACTGGGTAGTTTGTATGTTTCTAGGAATTTGTCCATTTCTTCCACATTGCCTAGTTTGTGGGCATATAATTTTTCATAATATTCTCTTATAATTGTGTTTGTGTGCTGTTGGTTGTTATTTCTCCTCTCTCATTTGTGATTTTATCTATTTGGGTCCTTTCTCTTTTGTTAAGTCTGGCTAGGAAGCCGCAGTTTCTTTTTTTTTTTTTTTAGATTTTTTTTATTTATTCATTTGACAGAGAGAGACAGTGAGAGAGGGAACACAAGCAGGGGTAGTGGGAGAAGGAAAAGCAGGGTTCCCGCCGAGCAGGGAGCCCGATGAGGGGCTCGATCCCAGGACCCTGGGATCATGACCCGAGCCAAAGGCAGACGCTTAACGACTGAGCCACCCAGGCGCCCCGGAAGCCACAGTTTCAAAGTAGTTCTTGTCTTCAGGGAGCGGGGCAAGGTTAAAACTCTTTCCATAATAATACTAAGACTCTTCTTTCCCCTTTTCCAGATGTTACATGGTGTGATGGCATAGTTGCTCTAATGTTAACATATGGTGAGTTTATTATGATTTTTAAATAAGTAAATTGATACATACTTCAATATTTCCTAAGTTTTAATTTCTAACATGGTAATCATTGATACAAACAAAAGCCTTTTGTTTATGGGGTCTTCCATAATCTTTAAGAGGGCAAAGCGATGCTGAGACCAAAAAGTTCAAATACTGCTTTTTAGAGTAATATAAGCAGTTATTTGAAGAAGTTAATGTTCATACATTTATATTGTAAATGTACTTGTGGATATTTAGATATTATTTTCTGGGTCCTATATAGTTGCCACAAACTTGTGCTGTATTAGTATGTAAATACCTACTGTTCAGGTTTTTTTTTTTTTTTTTTCAAGCATCTCTATTAAAATCATACATGATTGGGCGCCTGGGTGGCTCAGTTGGTTAAGCGACTGCCTTCGGCTCAGGTCATGATCCCGGAGTCCCGGGATCGAGTCCCGCATTGGGCTCCCTGCTCAGCAGGGAGTCTGCTTCTCCCTCTGACCCTCCTCCCTCTCATGCTCTCTGTCTCTCATTCTCTCTCTCACAAATAAATAAAAAATCTTAAAAAATAAAAAATAAAATAAAATAAAATAAAATCATACATGATTCTTGTGACACATATTTACAGTTGATATCACTTGCCATTCATTATGAGATAATTAATTTGGCAACTTGAGGTTTTAAATAGTTGTGCATTTGTCATTGCCGATTGAAGTTCACCTTATAACAAATAGCTGTGAATCATTCTAAACAATTGATAACAAATAAGCTTTCAAGGCTTAAAATTGTGACAAATCTTTTCTGAATTTAGACATTTATCTTGATTTATCTGGATTATAATACTTTGTATTTGTAGATTGCTTGTATTTCTAAATTAATAGCTATATTTACTTCACTTAGGGAATCCGCAAAAATGAGTAAGATTCTTCAAAACATGCTGGTGGAAGTAATTTAAGTTTAAGATAACAAAGATAGTGACATGTAAAAACTCTTTTAATGGTATAGTGTCAAGGTTTAAAAATTTTTCAGAGTTCCTGTGTTTCCAATATTTATACCAACATTTAGGATTTGAATAATGTTTATATCAAGTGGCAATTGAAATAATTGTATAATTATGGAAATTCATGTATAAGTTTATTTTGATTATAGAATATCAATAACATACTAATATTGAGCTAAATTATATGCTTGAAAATCTTGAAATATTGAATTATATGAATGCTCTTTTTAGATAGGCATTATAGACAAGGGAAAATAGTATACTTTGGGGAAGAAGATTATTGCAAATTGTAAAGCATTCAATTATATACATTTTCAATTATTATTAAAATGACTATAGTGAAAGTTTTATCACAAATATTTCCAAGTATCAAACTATTTTTGTATGTTGGAGGACATAACAAAAGCTATTTATTTAGTACTCTAAAAATTAATCTGAGTATATTAAGTAAAACCCCAGTTAACTGCCATGATAGGGTATTCTTTTGATTAATAGAACTTTTCACATGTCTATGAAAGCTTATGCCTTAATCATGACAACTTCTTTGCTTTGAAGATCTGAAGCTGAAAAAATGGAAAACCAGTGTCATGGAGTATATATGGAATTTACACAAACTTTAATTAACTTTTTTTTATAGGCACAGTATTCACATAGTTTATATTAAAAAAAAAAATCCAGAGTGAAAATCCTTCCTTCAATCCTTTGCTTCAACCACCAGTTCCCTTACCTGGAGTCAACTTGGAGTCTTTGGTACAAGTCACCACCACCTTTTGTCTGGATTACTGCAAAAGCATCCTAATGGATACCCCGCTTCCTCCTTTGCTCATATATTCTCCACACTGCAGCCAGAGTGGTGCTTTTAAACATGATCACATCATATCACTCTTCTCTGAAGACCCTTAGTAATTTCCTCTCTTACTCAAAGTAAAAAAACAAAATCCTTACTAATGTTGACCAAGCCCTACAGAATCTGCTTCCCCCCCATTTACAAGTGTGATATTCTTTCCTCCTTCCTCATTATATTCCATCATTCTGACCTCCTTATTTTGTTCCCTGCTCCTTTGCACTTGTTTCTTCTACCTGTAATGTGCTTACTCTGATATCTTCAGGCCTGTTCAGGCTTCTGAGCAGATATCTCCTTATCAGAAAGACTTTTTCCTGACCATTCTGACCACCCAGCATTCCCTAACCCCCTTCCCTGAATATTTTTTCATAAAACTTCCATGGCTGTTTATAAATATACCCAGAATTTTTAAATTCAAATGTAGTGAGGCCAATAGATGAGAGAAGGTTGTCACTGAAAAAATAGTTTGTTACAGTTTGCAAGAGGAAGAGGCATTCAGTGCTATGCAGGGCCATATGGGGAAGGATGGTGGCAGTGGGGCTACTGTCAGGATGCAGAAAGTGTGAAGGGAAAGCATGGGCTAGAGCCATTATTGTTTTTGTGGGAAGAAATGGGAAAGACAGAGCAAGCAGCGGAGCAAGTTTAGGATTGGATAGTTTGAATAATTTTGGCAGGCTCTAAGATATGCCTGGTCCCTAGATTCCGAATGGATTCTCAGGCCCTTACTAACTCTACTTGGATTATCAATGTAAGCATGAATTTTGTATTTTATACCTTTTATTTACCTGTTTAAAGTTTATACAGGATTGTGACATTCCTTATTTACTTTTGACTTTCACAGCAATCCTACAAGGTCACTATTCCAGTTATCTCCATTTATAGCAACAAAGACAGCTCCAGGAGGACAAGTAATTTTGCCTGAGATTAGTGTAAGTGCCAGAACATGAATCATTTCCCCCCCATCTTCTCTTCCTTATCATTCTTTTGCTTTAGAACTTCTTGTGGGTTTTCCTGGCTAATAGACAAAATTCAGCCACCTTAGCCGGCATTTAAGGCTTTTACTGTTTGTTTCCTATCTATCTCTTTTTTTTCTGTAAAGTTATGTCCTAGGCAAAGTGATCTCTGTACAGTAATTTGGACACATGGCACTTTGTCACCTCTGTACTTGTGTATGCTGTTCTCACCACTGGGACTGTTCATCTTGACATGATTGATCATTCAAGGGCTACCTTTTCTGTGAACCATTTTCATTGCCTTCTCCCTCTGCCCACCCTAGCTGTATAGAAATTTCTCCTTTTTCTAAACTCTAACCTTTTTACCTAAAACTCATATAGCACTTAGAAAAACAATCTTGTAATAAATATAGTTACTTGTATTTTTTATTTTCCTGTGGGTTTATTTTATTGCTTATAGTTTCTTCTATACAGTCGAAATCAGCACTGAAAAGTTTTTGTTAGCTGTGGCTTACTCCTCTACCTCCCAACATCAGCAAGTAGCACATTGCTTTGTATATATTCATACTTCATAAGTATGCATTGAATAAAACATTAATCTTTTGGGTTAATTGGGATATATTCATTGAGAATACAATATGCTATAATTAGCGGAAGCATTCATATGAAGATAGGTGGATTAATGAATTACTGTAAGGCACTTAAGTTTTATTTGAGAACCTTCTGAAATCTCAGTGTGTTCCTGTATACTTGCATTTTAAATAATCCTTAATCAATTAAATAAGTGCCCTTTATACTCTTTGAATTTTTTAAATTTTATTATGTTATGTTAATCACCATACATTACATCATTAGTTTTGATGTAGTGTTCCATGATTCATTGTTGGCGTGTAACACCCAGTGCTCCATGCAGAACGTGCCCTCTTTAATACCCATCACCAGGCTAACCCATCTCCCCACCCCCCTCCCCTCTAGAACCCTCAGTTTGTTTTTTGAGCTACAAGCTACATTTCATATTTAACACCATTTGAAGTTTTAAGTAGTATTAAAGCCCAGCCCTTAACAGACAAAAGATACTTTGGGACTAGAAACACTGCAACATATGTTTTAAGATCCTTGTGATGTACCATGTATCATTATATTCCATATTTGTCATATCTTGCCACTTGCTGTGAATATCTCTATGTTACGTAAGATGCCACAATTAATTGGGAAATTGGGAAGATACACTTACTGGACAAATTTGAAAAAAGGGTATTATTTCTAGAGCTATTTCACAATTTTTAGTGTTTGTTTTGCTAAATTGAGATGGGGTTGATATTTAGTACCTGTATTATTTTCTTACAGCTGTTGTAATAAATTACCACAAACTTGGTGGCTGGAAACATCAGAAGTTTATTTTCTTACAACTCTGGAGGCCTGAAGTCCAAAATATTTATCACTGGGCTGAAATTAAGGTGTTGGCAGGGTGACACACTCCCTCTGGAAGTTCTAGGAGAGAATACATTCTTTGCCTCTTTGAGCTTCTGTTGGCTGTCAGGATTCTCTGGCTTGCAGCCACATCACTCTAATCTTCAGGGTCAGCATCTTCAAATCTCTCTCTGCTCTGTCTTTATATCCTTCTTTTCTGTGTGTAGTCAAGTCTCCCTCTTTTTTTTTTTTTTAAGATTTTATTTATTTATTTGACAGAGAGAGACACAGCAAGAGAAGGAACACAAGCAAGGGGAGTGAGAGAGGGAGAAGCAGGCCTCCGGCTGAGCAGGACCCCCACACAGGGCCAGATCCCAGGACCACGGAATCATGACCCGAGCCGAAGGCAGACACTTAATGACTGAGCCACCCACGCGCCCCTCAAGTTTCCCTCTTTTAAGGATACATGTAATGGCATTTAGGGTCCACCTGAATAATCTAGGATGATCTTTCCATCTCAGGCTCCTTAACTTCATCATATCTGCAATGACCTTTTTTCCTTATAAGGTAACATTTACAGGTTGATATCTCATTTGTGAGTTTGATTTGCATTTCTCTGATGACTAATGAAATTGAATACCTCTTCATATCTATATAGGCTTTTCTTATGTGAATCATTTGCTCATATTTTTTCCTATTGGTTGTCTGTTTTCTTTTTATGAGAAATTGATTTGTAATTGTGCAAATTCTTTGTTGATGGATGTGTTGCCAATATCTTTTCCACTCTGTGACTTGTCTTTTCATTTTCTTAGTTGTGTTTTTTGATGAGTGGAAAGTCTTAATTTTTTTTTAAAGATTTTTTATTTTTTATTAGAGAGAGTACAAGCAGGGGGAGCGGCAGGTAGAGGGATAGGGAGACAATGTGAGTCTCGATCCCAGGACCCTGGAATCATGACCTGGGCCGAAGGCAGCCCCTTGACCGACTGGGAGCCACCCAGGTGCCCCCGGAAGGTCTTAATTTTTATGTAGTTCAATTTAACAATCATTTCTTTTATGATTAACACATTCCGTATCCTGTTTAAGAAATCTTTGCTTGCTCTGAAGTCATAAAGATGTAATTCAGGGGCGCCTGCCTTGCTCAGTCAGTAGAGCCTGCCACTCTTGATCTCAGGGTTGTGAGTTCAAGCCCCACATTGGGTGTGGAGATTTCTTAAAAATAAAATCTTAAAAAAAGAGATGTATTCCAAATTTATCTTGGAAACTTTATTTTTAAATCACATTTAGCTTTATAATTCATGTGGAATCAATTTTTGCATATGGTGTGAGGTAAGGACAAGATTCACTTTTTCAGATGGATATGCACCATATTGTCTCCTTTTTCATAAATCAACTGGCCATATATGTACAAATTAATTTTGTTTTATAAAGTGATGTATGTGCTAGGAATTGTATTTGGTACTAATGATATAGCTAGAAATAATAGAGGTTATCTGTTCTGAAGATGGTCTTCATTGAATGAGGAAGATAATAAATGAGATAATGAAAAACATAGTAATCATATTAAAGTTGTATGTTGTGAGTTAAGGGAATAAGTTTTTCTATGAGGAGATGAGGAAAACTCTGCTAGAGGTGGCAGAATTTGAGCTGGGTCTTGAAAAATGAGTAGGAGTTTGATAAATGCATCCCATGTAGTAGGAAAAATAGTGAAAAGACACAGGATTGTCAAAGAGTAGGTGTATTCATAAAATGGTGAGAAGTTTGCTATAGGAAGAAGTGTGCAAGAAGGTGAGAGGGAGGAGGACAAAGGAGGACCAAGAGTTGATGGATACAAGGCTAGAACATTTTAGGCAGAGAAGATTACATGTGTAGAATTAAGTAATTATAAAGGAACATGGTATATTTATCAATGGTGAGAAATTCAGTATGGCTAGAAGATAGATTGTGTTTGCATGGGAGAGTGGTGTGAAGGAGCATCAGGGGAGAGATGAGGAGCTAATGAAGATGAGGATGAAATTTGGGTTGGACTTTATTTTGAAGGAAATTAGAGAGAAGGAAAGTTTCCAATTAGCAAGTAGTTTTAGGAAAACCATTTTAGGAAAATGAGCCTGGGGGCATAGAGGATAGATTAGAAGGTGGGAGATTGGTAGATGGAAATAAGAAAAATGAGGGTTGGCCAAGGGGTGGCAGTGGTGATGGTGAGACAGTGTCACATGTGGAACAAGTCGGATATATAGTCAAGAGGACTGGTGACCATGAATGGTGAGGAATAGGCAAGTGTAACAGATGACAAATTTATAGTTTGAAAGACTGAGTGAATGGTTACACTATCAACTGATAGAGGAAATATGAGGAGAAGGCTTAGCGGTAGCAAATAATAAATTTTGGACTTAATAGATTTGAGATGTTAGTGCATTAAGTAGTTGGAGACATCTAGGAAAATTAAAAATTATGTGTGTGGAGCTCAAGAGGAAGGTAGGGAGGTCAAGGCTCTAAGTATATATTTGAGAACCATCAGCACAGAGAAGATACTTGAAGCCATAGGAATGGATGAAGTCATCCAAGGAGAGTAAAAGGAGGATTAAGAAAATAAGTCTAGAGTCAATTCAGAGTAACTTGAACACCTAAGAGGAGTAGAGGAAGATGAGTCTGTGAAGGTGGGATTTTTCCACTGCCCCATCTGTGGTTTCTAATTTTCAACAGTAGCATTATTTCTTGTGTAATATAAAATAAAATGAAAAGAAACAATAGGTATGAAATTTAGGAAAAACAAGAAAGAGTTATGTCAAGAAGTTAGGGATGTTCACAGCTTTAGATGACACACAAAGTAAAAATAAACCATATAATTTGTTAATGAACTTCCCTTTTCCTTTTCCTTTGCTTTTATTGGGATAATGTATGTATAGGGTTCAAAAAATCAAATATGCTTTACATAAAAGCATTTGATAAAAAGCACCAGTTTTTCTTCCTGCCCAGATACCCATTTCTCAAAAGCAGCCTATGTTTAACTCTGTTTTTTTTTAGTTGTAAAATGTCTAAATATAAGTATGCTTGTTCCTCTGTATTTTGATTTACCTACTTTAGATCGTGACTGTTGGGCTTGGCAGAATTCTAACATGGCTCCGAAGATTCTCTCCATGGTTTGCATGCCTTGTATAGTCCTTTTCCCTTGAGAGTTGGTTATGCCTGTGAATATTATGGGCTGTTACTCTAATGATTAGGTTATTAGTCAGTTGACTTTCAGTTAATGCAAAGATTATCCTGGGTGACCTATTCAGATGAGCATTTTAAAAAGGGACCAGGACTTTCAAAAAAAAATTCTCCTACCAGACTTGAAGAAGAAAGCGGTCATATTTTGAGAGAAGAGGGCCATCTGGCTAGGACCTAGCTGTGGAAAGCGAACGCTGGCTGACAGAAGCAAGAAATCGGGGACTTCAGTCAAACTGCAAGATGATGAATTTTGTCAACCGTTAGAAAGTTTGGAAAAGGGCTCCAAGCCTCAGATGTGATTGCAGCCCTGGCTGACACCTTGGTTTCAGCCTGATGAGATCCAGAGCAGAGGATCCAGCTAACCTGTGCCCAGACTCCTGATCCACAGAAAATTGTGAGATAATAAATTTGTGTTGTTTTAAACTGATAAATTTGTAAGAAGTTGTCATGCAGAAATAGAACACTAATACAAATTTTAACTTCCAATGAAAAGATATAATTTATTTACTTTTTCTCTTCATTTCCCCTCTCATTATTTAAATGTTGTAATGACTTTAGTTCTTCAAATGGTTTATTTTGTTTGTTTCACTGCTATTTCTTATTCTTTTAAATTTTAGTTAGAATTTTGATTCCTATTAATGTGGAAGAAGGATATTAACAATTGTACTCTTTTTTTCCTCCTGATTTCTGACTTTCACCTAGAGTGAGCATAGTGAAGCCTGCTGGTAGGAGAAACCTGGCTCTAGTCTGGGGCATCTAAGGATGTGCAGCTGCACAGTGATGGGAATATTGTGTAATAAAAACACAGTACACCTGCTCAGAGTGAATTATTATTAATCTATAAGGGATGTGAGTTAATTTAAAAAGGGTATATGCTCTTGCCAGTTGATAAAACTTGGCTGGGTTTCTCAGGGATGCTCTGCCCTGCCTGTTGAAACCATCCCCTGAGATGCTTAGGGAAGACAAGTAAAAGCTGCCAGGAAAAGGCTAAGGGAAATTAAGTGTAGAAACTCTGCCTAGGAGGCTAAAGGATAATTTAAGTTCATCAGATGTCGAGAGACTTAGGTATAATTTAATGCTGGGAAGATAAACAACAGTTTCATCTAATTGGGAAGCCCCACTATCATTGGGTTTTCTGATCCTCTTCAATCTGCTTGAATATTTGCTGTTAAGGAAGATGTATTTTATAGAGAGATCTTTGGAAGTGTGGTAATGTCTTGCAACACTACCTTCTATGCATTCCAGGTTATTACCATTGAGTCTCTTCTATAACCCAAATTGTGTTCTGGGTTTAGTTTAGATTGAATAGAAAAGTTTAAAAATGATAAACAGTATTTCCAATGTTATGAACCTGTCACTGTGTTTGAGTTGCAAGTAGAAGAAACCAATTTTAGTCACCTTAAGCAAAAGAGCTTTTTTTGGTTGGGAAGGATCTCAGTCCCCAGGATTGATGGAAAGTGTGGAGAACCCAGCTCAGAAACATGGTGCTATAACTAAAGTAAATGTATGGGAGATTGAAGAACTAGGATAGGGAATCTGAAAGGCTGCACCCCCAGACCATGGGGTGGTAGGTAGAAGAAGAATCTCACCTCTCAGAGGGACTCTTCAGGGACTTCTTTGAATTTCATCAAAGGTTGAGAGTAGGACGCATTGATTACAGTTCCACCAAGACTGTACCCCGTGAAAGAGCGAGTTTCCCAAAGGAGATGGTGGAATTGTTGGCAAGGATGCCTGGATGCCGGGCAGTGGAAAAAAGTTCTGAGGATCACATGGTGTTTAGAATTTGCAAGCCTGAAGGGCATCTAGGTCTTTTTCAGGGCTGCGAAAGGCTAAACTGAAAAGGGATGTGGGGGGAAAGCAGGGATGTCATCAAACATTAAGCTAGACTAAGAAAAGCAATGTCCTTATTCACTTAGCTAGATCAAAAAAGCACCTCTAAATCTGGGAATTTAGACCTGTCTGCTTTAAAATGGTCATAATCCAAGTCGTAAAGGGAGATGGGAGAGGATTTCACAGTGTTTCCACTTGCCTGCAAAGTTTCTCCACCTTGTCCAATTAATTTCAGATCCAGTGTTCAGAATATTATTATAATATTATTTCTCTTTGCTTGTGTCTATGTAGTAAGTCTTGTCTATGTTCTTTTCTATATCCAATTAAATGAAGAATGGGACATACTCTGTTTATTCCTGATTGCTTTCTGACCAGAAACCATGCCTTCCTTGTTCGTTGTTGTATTATTCCTCCTAACGTTCTTCTACTCTGTTGTAGAAAGTGCTACTTGGATTGCAAAGTACCCCTCTCCAAGTTACAAAATGTATAGGAAACTGCTTTCTGAATTTCTAAGAGCTTATTTTTTCAGACCAGTTCTTCACTGGGACAATTAAAGCTGAGATTTGATAATTATCTTGATACTTCAATAGGAAAATTCTCTTGCCTCAATTACATAAAAGTGGATTACTTTGCTATAATTTGGACAGCTGTGTTTGTTCTTCCCATCACTTGGCCACTCAGGTCCTTTGCATAAGTTTCTTTAGAAGGACGGTAGATGCTGAAGAGGGCAGCATCCTTTCAGAGATTGTGAACATCCAGTTGGGATGTGGTTGTGTTGTAAGCCTGAGAGATGGTTACCATGAAGATAATGTGACTGGCTTTGCTATCATCACTTAAAAAATAATTATGTGCTTGACTGCTACTTGAGGAAAGAAAATATTCTCAAATTAGATTTTCCTTTCCATTTAAAAGTGGAAACCTTTCCTCATTGCTTAAGAAAAGTGAAGTCTGTATGATTCCTTTAGGCACATATAAGCCTAGATGTGGAAGACTTAGTAGTTTTATCTAACTGCTTATTTAAAAGTCAGTAAAAACTTAGTAAAGGCATATATGATTAGATTATAATGTTCTAGGTTTTTCAGCTTTATAATTAAATTTAAAGTGTCTGTGTTGAAATTTGTTTCAATGATATTAGGGAAAAGAAAAAGTTCTTTTGGGGATGGGGCAAGAGAATTGATTCCTTCTTTAGCAGGTTTCTCTCACTTTTGTGCCTTTTTCCTTTTGACCCAATTTTTTTTTCTTTATCCTTTAGAGAAACCTGAAGTTCATCCTTACTTTTCCTTTCTGTCTCATATTCCACAGCCATCAACTCTTGTCTCATATATATCTCTGGAAACCATCCCATTCACTGCTTTCCCACTGCCCAAGTTCAGACTTGCACCATCTATTTTGGAGACAACAGTTTCCATTCTTGACGTCTTCCATCTCAATTCACCTTTCCTATTGCCACCAGAATTATTGTCCTAAAATGCAAAACTCTCTTGCTTAAAACCCTTCTGCAGTTCTCTTTCAATTGTGGATTAAAACCCAAACGTAGGATCATAAGTTCCTCAGTGATATATCTTCTGCACAGTTTTCTTTCTCACCAACCACTCCTATCCACACATGTTCAAGGAACACTGAACTGTTGGGTGTCAAATCCAAAAAAAATCATTGCCAAGACCAATGTCAAGGAGCTTACCAACTGCATATGTTTTCTTCTAGGAGCTTTATGATTTCAGGTCTTACACTGAAGTCTTTAATCTGTTTTGAGTTAATTTTTGTGTATGGTATAAGATAGTGATCCAGTTTTATTCTTTTGCATGTGGCTGTCCGGTTTTCCAGCACCACTTATTAAAGACACTTTTCCTTTCCTCTTGTGTTTTCTTGGTTTTTGTCATAAATTGGTTGACCATATATGCATGGATTTATTTCTGGGCTCTCTTTTCTATTCTGTTGATCTATGTGTCTGTTTTTGGGCCAATATCATAACATTATCGCTTTGTAATGTAGTTTGAAATCAGTGAGTATAATGCCTCCAACATTGTTCTTCTTTCTCAAGATTGCTTTGGCTATTTAGGGTCTCTTATGGTTCTACACAAATTTTAGGATTGTTTGTTCTAGTTCCGTGAAAAATGCCATTGGAATTTTGATAGGAATTGCATTGAATCTATAGATTGCTTTGGATTGTATGGACATTTTAAAATATTAATTTTCCAATTCATGAGCACAGAATGCTTTTTCATCTATTTGTGTCTTCAGTTTTTTTTCTTAATGTCTTACCGTTTTCAGTGTAGAGGTTTTTTATCTCCTTGGTTATATTTATTTCTAGATATTTTATTCTTTTTGATGTAATCATAAATGGGATTGTTTTCTAAATTTTTCATTTTTTTTAAAGATTTTATTTATTTGACAGAGAGAGACACAGCGAGAGAGGGAACACAAGCAGGGGGAGAGGGGGAGGGAGAAGCAGGCTTCCCACTGATCAGGGAGCCCGATGCGGGGCTCGATCCCAGGACCCTGGGACTATGACCTGAGCCGAAGGCAGATGCTTAATGACTGAGCCACCCAGATGCCCCTAAATTTTTCATTCTGATAATTCATTACTAGTGTATAGGAATGCAGCAGACTTTTGTTAATTAATTTTGTATCCAAAACTTTACTGAATTCATTTGTTAGTTTTACCAGCTTTTTGGTGGAGTCTTTAGGGTTTTCTATATATAATAATCATGTCATCTGCAAATGCAAGTGAGAGTTTTACTTCTTGTATTTCTTTTTCTTGCCTAATTGTTCTGGTCAGGACTTCCAGTACCATGTTGAATAAAAATGGTGTTAATTCTTTTTTTTTTTTTAAGATTTTATTTATTTATTTGACAGAGAGATAGAGAGCACAAGTAGGCAGAGCAGCAGGCAGAGAGAGAGGGAGAAGCAGGCTCTCCACTGAGCAGGGAGCCCAACATGGGGCTCAATCCCAGGACCCTGGGATCATGACCTGAGCTGAAGGCAGACACTTAACGACTGAGCCACCCAGGCACCCAAAATGGTGTTAATTCTTAAATGTTTGGTAGAATCCGCCAGTAAAGTCATCTGGTCTTTGACTTTTTGGACTTCTTGATTACCAATTTGATCTCTTTACTCATTACTTGTCTGTTCACATTTTCTGTTTCTTCATGATTCAGTTTTGGTGGGTTGTGTTTCTAGGAATTCATTAATTTGGTCTAGGTTATTCAGTTTCTTAGAGTACAAATTTTCATAGTATTCTCTTATAATCCTTTTTGTTTCCATGGCATCTGTGTTAATGTTCCTCTTTTGCTTATGATTTTAGTTATTTGAGTCTTCTCTTTTATTAATCTAGCTAATAATCTGTCAATTTGTTAATTATTTTTAAAACCAGCTCTTCTGTTGATTTTGTCCTTTGTTTTTCTAGTCTTTTATTTTGTTTATGTCTGCTCCAAACTTTATTTTATTCTTCCTTCTGCTTATTTTGGGTTTAGTTTGTTCTTTTTCTAATTTCTTGAGGTGTTTAAACTAGGTTGTTGATTTGAGATATTTCTTTTTTTAATGCATACATTTACATCTATAGACTTTAGCACTGCATTCACTGCATCTCATAAGTTTTGCTTTTCATTTGTGTAAAGGTATTTTCTAATTTCCCTTGTGATTTCTTCTTTGACCCACTGGTTGCTTAAGAATGTGTTAATTTCCATATATGTGGATTTTCCAGTTTTCCTTGTGCTATTGATTTCTAGTTTAATTTCATTATGATTGAAAAAGATACTTGTATGATTACAATCTTCTTGAATTTGTTAAGACTTGTTTTGTGGCCTACTATGGTCTATCCTGGAGAAGGATCTCTGTTCACTTGAGAATATGTATTCTGCTGCTGTTGGATGGAATGTTCTTTATGTATCCTAGATTCATCTGTTATAACATGTATTATAAGTCCAGTGTTTCCTTATTGATTTTCTGTCTGGTGGTTCTATACATTATTGAAAGTGGGGTATTGCTTTTATTCTCCCTTCAGTCTGTCTTTGCTTTATACATTTAGGAGCTCTGAGGTTTGGTGCATAAATATTTAGAATTGTTATATCTTCTTGGTCAACTTTTGTATAATGTCATTCTTGGTCTCTTGTTAACAGCTTTGATTTAAAGTCTGTTTTGTCTGATATTAGTATAGGCACTCCTGCTTTCTTTTGGTTGCCATTTGCATGGATTTTTTTTAATCCTTTCACTTTCAGCTTATGAATGTCCTTGTATCTAAAATGAGTCTCTTGTTAAAAATGTAATGATCCGAAGTGGCACATGCATCCTGATGTTTATAGCAGCAATGTCCACAATAGCCAAACTATGGAAAGAGCCAAGATGTCCATTCACAGATGAATGGATAAAGAAGATGTGGTATATATATACAATGGAATATTACTCAACCATCAGAAAGGATGAATACTGGGCGCCTGGGTGGCTCAGTTGGTTAAGCGACTGCCTTTGGCTCAGGTCATGATCCTGGAGTCCCAGGATCGAGTCCCTCATCGGGCTCCCTGCTCAGTGGGGAGTCTGCTTCTCCCTCTGACCCTCTTCCCTCTCGTGCTGTCTCTCATTCTCTCTCTCAAATAAATAAATAAAATCTTTAAAAAAAAAAAAAAGAAAGGATGAATACTTACCATTTACATTGACATGGATGGAACTGGAGGGTATTATGCTGAGTGAAATAAGCCAATCAGAGAAAGACAATTATATGGTTTCACTCATATGTGGAATATAAGAAACAGTGCAGAAGATCATAGAGGAAGGGAGGGAAAACTGAATGGGCAGTTATCAGAGAGGGAGACAATGAGAGATTCTTAGCTATAGGAAACAAATTGAGGGTTGCTGGAGGGGAGGTGGGTGGGAGGATGGGGTAACTGGGTGATGCTTATTAAGGAGGGCACATGATGTGATGAGCACTGGGTGTTATATGCAACTGATGAATTCTTGAACTCTACATATAGTACATTATATTGAACTAATGATGTACTATATGTTGGTTAATTGAATTTAAATAAAAAAATAGTCTCTTGTAATCAGTATATAATTGGATCTTTTAAAAAAATCCATTCAGCCAATTTATGTCATTTGATAGGAATTTAATCCATTTACATTAATTACTGATAAGGAAAGATTTACTATTGCTAATTTTGTTAATTGTTTTCTGTGTATCTTTTTAGTTTATTTGGGGGAGAAGAGAGGAAAGCGGAGAGGGAAAGGGAAAGAGAGATTATTATTATTATTTTTTAAAGATTTTATTTATTTATTTGAGAGAGAAGAGAGAGAGCATGAGCGGGGAGAAGGGCAGAGGGAAAAGCAGACTCCTCGCTGAGCAGGGAGCCCGATGCAGGGCTTGATGACGGAACTCCGGGATCGTGATCTGAGGTAGTCGCTTAACCAAGTGAGCCACCCAGGCGCCTTGGAAAGAGAGATTATTAAGCAGGCTTGATCTAGGACACTGAGATCATAACCTGAGCAGAAATCAAGAGTCAGATGCTTAACCAAGTCAACTAAGTAGCCAACTAAGCGTCCCGGTTTTTTGTATATCTTGGACATTTTTTTCCTCTTCTTTCCTGTCTTTCTTCCTGTGTTTCACTGACTTTGGTAATGATGTGTTTTGATTCCTTTCTCATTTCCTCTGGTGTATATTTTAAAGGTATTTTCTTTGTGATCACCATTCCAATTATATAAAAAATCTTAAGTTATAGCTTCTATTTTAAACTGATAACAACTTCAATTACATACAAATAGCCTTTACTGTTCCACCCCCCTTTTTTGTTATTGTCACAAATCACATCTTTATATATTATATACTCATTGACATAGACTTATGGTTTAAAAAAAATGTTTTTGTCCTTTAAACTCTATGGTCCAAAATTACAATAGGTCAGGCTACTGTATTAGTCCATATATTTACCTTTACTGGAGAATCTTGTTTTTTTCTTATGGCTTTGTGTTACTGTCTATTGTCCATATGTTTCAACTTGAATAACTCCCTTTAGCACTTCTTGTCAAACAGGTTTATTGGTAATGAATTCCCTCAGCTTTTGTTTAGGAACATCTTAATATCTTCTTTCTTTAAAATTGAGATGTATTTGAGGGGCACCTAGGTGGCTCATTAGGTTAAACATCTGCCTTGGCATCAGGTCATGATCCCAGTCTCCTGGGATTGAGCCCCACATTGGGCTCCCTGCTTAGTGGGGAGTCTGCTTCTCCCTCTCGCTCTGCCCCTCCCCACTGCTAGTGCTGTCTCTCAAATAAATAAAATCTTTTAAAAAATAAAATTGAAATCTATTTGCCATATAATATTGTATTAGTTTCAGGTGTACAGCATTGTGATCCAATGTTTGTATACATTGTGAAATGATCATCACAATAAGTTTAGTTAATATCTCTCCTTATTTTTTTTTAAGATTATTTTTATTTATTTGACAGAGAGAATGAGAGAGTGAGCACTTCCAAGATTGTCTCTTGTACCTTCTTTTGCAGCTTCCAAGATTATCTTTTGGTCTTTTACTTTAGACAGTTTGGTTATAATAAGTCTTTGTGTGGTTCTTTTTGGATTTATTCTAGTTAGAGTTTTTTTGAGATTTTAAAATTTGTGTGTCCATTTCTTTCCTCAGATTTGGGAAGTTTGGCCCATTATTTTTTCAAATAAGTTATTTGCCTCTTTCTTTTTTCTCCTCCAAAGATTTCTATAACATATATGCTTATCTGCTTGTTAGTGTTCTATCAGTTTGTTAGGCTCTCTTCACTTTTTTCTTTTTTCATTCTCTTTTCTTTTTGTTTCTTGGAATTGATGATTTGAAATGGCTTGGCTAAATTCTTTGATTTTTTTCACCTGATCAAGTATGCTGTTCAAGTTCACTAATGAAATTTTCAGTTTAGTTATTGTATTTTCCAGCTCTAGAATTTGTGTTTGGTTCTTTTTTTTGATAGTTTCTGTTTCTTTGTTTATGTTCTTATTTTGTTCATGCATTATTTTCTTGATTTCTTTTTTTTTTTTTTTTGACGATTTTATTTGTTTGACAGAGAGAGACACAGCAAGAGAGGGAACACAAGCAGGGAGAGTAGGAGAGGGAGAAGCAGGCTTCCCGCCGAGCAGGGAGCCCGATGTGAGGCTCGATCCCAGGACCCTGGGACCATGACCTGAGCCAAAGGCAGATGCTTAACGACTGAGCCACCCAGGCGCCCCTATTTTCTTGATTTCGTTTAGTTGTCTGTGTTCTTTTTTAGTTAACTGAACATCTATTTTGATATTTTAAATTCTTTGTCAGGCAGCTCTTGATCTGCATTTCTTTAGGATTGGTTTCTGGTATATTCTTTTGTACCTTTGATTGGGCTATGATTCTCTGTTTCTTTGTATGCCTTGTAATTTCTTATTGGATTTGGACATTTGAAAAAACAATCACCTCTCTCAGTCTTTGTGTACTGGCTTTGTACAGGGCAATACCTTTGCCAATCAGCCGGGTTAGAAGTTCTGACCTTTGAAACTTTTTCTGATCTCTTGCTCTTCCTGGCATGTGCCTGTGGAACTATAGCTTGAATGTTTTCAGCAGCTTCTGAACTCTGGTCTGGTCTTGTCAGCACTCAGAGTCAACTAAGACAGACACCATGACAGAAGCCTTTATACAAGGCAGAATTTTGAATGTGGAGTCTACTTCATATTTCCATGCTGAGGAAGGAGCTCTGGTATGGAGTTTCCTCCTGGATGCTCTGTACTATGCTGCATGGGGCAAGGGACATGGACAGGTGTGCCAAATGGTATAATTTTTCCTACTCCTTTCACTGGAATCTCTTCTTAGTTTTCCAGTAGCTTGGATGCTGTAGCTTTTTTACCTCTAGAGTTCTTACATAGGTATTCTGGTACATACATTTTTAAGTCAGTGTTTCTATGAAAGGAGAGCCAGTAGCCTTATAGTTCACCATATTCCTAGAAATAATATTTTAAAGCAAAATAATTATTTAGAATATAGGATCTATTGTCTATTAATAATGATCTCTTATTCTATTGTACTATTAAATAACATGTTTAGAAATTCATTTATTTTCATGTTTAGTTTATCCTGACCTGCACTTTTGCTGTATCAATTTATTTTAGGAGAAGACAGGCTCATCTTTGGGTTCCTTAAATTCCAATTAACTATTTGCCTACACAGTACAAATATCATATTTTTTGATACTTAAATTTTTAAAAAAGACAATATTTGTGTTCAGATAATAGGCTACCAAATAGGCTTTCTGTGCATATGTGTGTGTGGATGCATACATGTGTATATGTAATGAGGAGGCCAAGGGAAGAGTAGGGTCTTTCCTCCAGACTTACTACAAGTAGGATACCTGCATTTGAGACTAGTGGAAATAGGGTGTTTGTATTGGATTTCATCTATGGATGCATTGAAAGCAGGGAAGAGTTCAGATTATAGGGTATGGTCTTTTGGAATTAGTAAATTATGAATAGTTATTTATTGCTTCTGTTTCTCACTGCCAAGGTCATTGTGTGATTATGCTAATAAAGGTGTATTTACTACTTACCTAAGGTAATGTTATGGGTTAAATTGTGTCATTTCCAAAAAAAGATACATTGGAGCCCTAACCCCAAGTACCTCTGACTGTGATCTTATTGGAGATAGGGTCCTTACAGAGGTAATTAAGTTAAAATGATGTCCTTAGGGTAGACTTTAATCCAATATGACTGGTGTCCTTATAAAAAGGGGAAATTTGGACATAGAGATAAACACACAGGGAGGGATATCATGTGAACATAAAGGTAGATGTTGGGGTGGTATGTTACAAACCAAGGGACAGCAAAGATTTCCAGGAGATCACTAAAAATTAGGTGACAGGTATGGAACAGATTGTTCCTCACAGCCTTCAGATGGAAACAACCCCACGGACACCTTGAACTAGACTTCTAGCCTCCAGACTTTGAGACCACAAATTTCTGTTTAAGCCACTCAATTTGTGGTATAGGAGTCCCAGGAAATGAATAAAGTAACCGCTTATATTATGTTGCATAGTTTTTGTTTTGTTTTGTTTTTAAAGATTTTATTTATTTAGTTGAGACAGAGAGAGAGAGCACAAGTGGGGAGAAGGATTAGAGGGAGAGGGAGAAGCACGCTCCCCCCTGAGCAGGGAGCCCAATGCGGGGCTTGATCCCAGGACCCTGGGATCATGACCTGGGACGAAGGCAGATGCTTAACTGACTGAGCCACCCAGGCACCCCTATGTTGCATAATTAAAACAAATCTTTGTAAATGGTTATCAAAGATGTGCTATATCCATTACTGTAAACACATCCTGAGGTATATGTAGGTTTATGTTATTACTTGTCAATGCTTGAGAGTCTTCCTTTCAATCTAAAATTTGTCTACTCTTACCTCACTCAAATGTTTTAACATTTATAGTGTTGGCCTGTAGACACACAGGATTCTTTTTTTTTTTTTTATCATTTTATTTATTTATTTTTTTATTCTATGTTAATCCCCATACATTACATCATTAGTTTTAGATGAAGTGTTCCATGATTCATTGTTTGTGCATAACACCCAGTGCTCCATGCAGAATGTGCCCTCCTCAATACCCACCACCAGGTTAACCCATCCTCCCACGCCCCTCCCCTCTAGAACCCTCAGTTTGTTTTTCAGAGTCCATCATCTCTCATGGTTCGTCTACCCCTCCGATTTCCCGTGCTTCATTCTTCCCCTCCCGCTACCTTCTTCTTCTTCTTTTTTTGACACACTAGGTTCTTTTATGATCTTGGGGACAATATTTGGTAGAATAAATTGATAACTTTGTGTGATATCTTTTAGAGTCACCATCAACTCTGTTTTTCTCGTAAGAGATGTTTGGGTAGGACTCAGACACCCTAATAATTGTGTAAAGAACAATTTTGGAAGGTGAATTGTGGCCAAAGAAAAGAAATGAGCAATTTTGACAAGTCTGGTCTTAGTTTTAGTTTTTTTTTTTTTTCCTCTTACAAGGATTTTACTCATCAAATCAGGCTTTTTTCTTTAGAAATTATTTTGCAACATGGATTAGTATCCCTTTAACTCATTCAACTTTGGGTTAAATCAAATTTGCTGAGCAAAGTAATACAGTTATTTGTGTGTGCAATAGTAAGGGAAAGAAGTGAATGGCTTGTAACAGATGCTGTGCTTACAAATGTCAGAGTTTTCAATGAGCCCACGACTTTAAAAGGTCATACCATTTTATAGTTTAACATTTTAAACTTAGTAATAAATACAGGGTATGTGTTATACTTCCTACTTTAAATGGATTGGTTTTCCAATTTTCTGTGTCAAAGATGGCTTTACCATCTGTTGCTGTTTTATAACATTCCTTCAAACCCAAGCCTTTCCTCTTTTCTTATGTGCTTGTTAACTTTCAGGAGGTGCTATCACCAAGACCTCACAATATGGAGCTTTATAATATTTGTCCAACAGTGATATGAGTGATTGATTTGGAACAGTCCTCAATGCCAGAAATATACTTGAAGTAGAATTATATGAATTCTAAGATCATTGTTAAAATTCTGGTCAGCATGACTTAGTAAGCAGATCATGCTATAGTCCTTTTCTGCATATCAATTTGATCAGGCCTTGTTTGTTCAAATCAAAGTTGTTTTATTAAAAATTTCTATATCTCTAGTATTTTTGTGTACTTTATTTGTCATGAATTGAGAGAAGAATGTTATAGTCTATTGTGATTATAGATTTATTTTTGCATTTCTATCAGACTTTATATATTTTAAGACTATACCTAATTTCATGATATATCTTGACTGTATGCTTTATCATATGAAACATCCTAATTATATGTATACATATTCACTTGATATTTTGAACTTTAATTATAATATGTCTGATTACTCTTTTTATTTTGAATTGTTTAAATTTAAAATTTTTATTTTTTTAAAAAGATTTTATTTATTTGACAGAGAGAGACACAGCGAGAGAGGGAACACAAGCCGGGGGAGTGGGAGAGGGAGAAGCAGGCTTCCAGCAGAGCAGGGAGCCTGATGTGGCACTCGATCCCAGGACCCTGGGATCATGAGCTGACCTGAGCCAAAGGCAGCCGCTTAACGACTGAACCACCCAGGTGCCCCAAATTTTTAATTTTTAAATTGAGGTATAATTGACAAATTAGTTTTGGGTGTACTTTACTTTTTTTTCCTTCAAATTTTTATTTAAATTCTAGTTAGTTAACATACAGTGCAATATTGGTTTCAGGAGTAGAATTCAGTGGTTCATCACTTATATATAACACCCAAAACTTATAACAAGTGCTCTCCTTAATCCCTATCACCCATCTAGCCCATCCTGCACCCACATCCTCCATCAACTCTGTTTGTCCTCTATCGTTAAGAGTCTCAAAAAGCTAAAAATAGAGCTACCCTATGACCCAGAAATTGCACTACTAGGTATTTATCCAAAGTATACAAACATAGTGATTCAAAGGGGCACATGCACCCCAATGTTTATAACAGCAATATCTGCAATAGCCAAAATATGGAAAGAGCCCAGATGCCCATCACCAGATGAGTGGGTAAAGAAGAGGTGGTATACACACACACACACACACACACACACAGGAATATTACTCAGCCATCAAAAAGAATGAAATCTTTGCCATTTGCAATGACATAGATTGAACTTGAGAGTATTATAAGTGAAATAAGTCAATCAGAGAAAGACAAATACCATATGATTTCACTCATATGTGGAATTTAAGAAACAAAATAGATGAACATAGGGGATGGGAAGGAAAAATAAAATAAGATGAAAATAGAGAGGAAGGCAAACCATAAGAGATGCTGAACTCTAGGAAACAAACTGAGGGTTGCTGGAGGGGAGGTGGGTGGGGTGAAGGGGTAATTGGGTGATGGGCAATAAGGAGGGTACTTGATGTAATGAGCACTGTTATATGCAACTGATGAATCACTAAATTCTACCCCTGAAACTAATAATATAGTATATGTTAACTAAATTGGATTTAAATAAAGAATTAAAAAAAGAGTGGTTTGTTTTCCTCTCTCTGTTTTTATTTCCCTTTCCATATGTTCATCTGTTTTGTTTCTTAAATTTCACATATGAGTGAATTCATATGGGGTGTACTTTATTTTTTAAAAACATTTAATATCTACTTATTTTTATTCTGAGTCATTTGGTTTGGGATATATCTGGGATAGACAGCTTATAGCTGGGTTTAATAATGCACTATGATTTTCTACTTTTAATAGAGTAATAGAGTACCTAACTTGCCATTTATTATCATTGTTGATATGTTTGGGATTATTCTTGCAATGTTACTTTGTAATGTATGTTTTATATACTTCCAAATTATGATTTTTTTCATCTTCCCAATTTTCTGCTCTTGTTTTGATCGAAATATTTGTGTTCTGTTTTCCCCTTCTTATGGTTAGGAAATTATACGTTCTATTCCTTTGGACTCTAGGGGTTATTAACCTTTACTTTTTATGGCATACATTTAAACATTTTTTTTAATCAATATCTAAAATAAACCAGTAAGTAAGTCCTTTCTGAACAAGGCAGGGACCTCAATATTCTGCTTCATTCTACCTCCTCCTCCTGATATCTCCTTCCCATGCTGAGATCATCTGAGATAATAGTTCCAGATCATTATTATTTTAATAGTAAAATTTATTTAGCTAACGTTTTATTGATTTCATTGCTCATCATTGTGTGTCTGGGTGTTTTTTCTTTTTACCCTTTCTTAGATTGTTTTTGTTTGTTTTTCTGGCATTCACATATTGACTCCTACCCCAGCTTTACTGAGGACAAATAAAAGTTATGTATATTTCAAATGTACAATATGATGTTTTGATATACCACATATTGTTTGTAGAGGGCTTATAGGAGATAACATTTCTTTATGTTATCTCTGAAAATAAATTTATTTTGCCTTCATATTTGAATAATATTTTGACTGAAAAAAATTTTCAGGTTCAAAATAATTTTCACTAGAACTTCGAAGATATTTCTCCAGTATCTTCTTGAATCTAGAGTTGGCGTGACATGTGATACTAGTCTGATTTCTTTTTTTCAGTAAATAACAACCTCCCCCACCCCGCCCCATCTTTCCTGTCAAACCTTTTACCTTTTTGACTTTATCCTTGGTGGTTTAAAATTATATAAAAATGTGTCCAGGTATGAGACCTTTTTCATTCATCTTCTTTGGTCCTTCAGTTTTAAGGTCAGGGTCTTTTTTCAGCTACAAGAGTGTATCTTCCATTATTTTTTTGGTTCTTTTCTCTATTCCTTTCTTTCTGGTCATTTCTTATGGAGCTTTGATAGATGAGGCTGGATCTTCTGGATTTATTCTCCATGTAGTTTATAGTTTTTATATAATTTATTTGGAAATAATTTCAAATTGATAGGAACATTGTAAGAACAGTACAAGGAACTTGTGTACTCGATTTAGAAACTGTTAACCTCTTGCCACATTTGCTTCATCATTTCTCTCTCTTTATGTGTATATATATATATATTTTTGGAAAGCATTTGAGAATAAATCACAGAGTTGCTTGTCTATTATCCCTA